GGTAGGCCCCAGTTCATGGGGCCGCAAAGAGTTGGACACGACTGAGCGACTTCACTTTCATTTTTCTCCAGAGGATTACAGTGTCTCCAGTATGCTGCCCTTTGCTGTTCAACAGTTTTTTCCCTGATTCTCTGTTTGATGTGTATTAATGTCTGTTTGTTCCTTGCAAACTCATTTATCTCACATCCCTAACTCTTTTTTTAAAATAATCAGAAGTTAGTTTTCTAAGTTTGTGAGTCTGTTTATTCTGTGTAATATCCTACATTTGCATTAATTTCAAGAAGATACCTGTCAGTGATACCTTGTGATATTCGTCTTTCTCTCTCGGCCTTCCTCTACTTAGTATGGTAACCACTTTATCCATGCACACTGTTGTTACTGGTGTTATTCCATTCTGATTCAGAGCTGGGTAGCACTGCAGTGTAGAGGTGCACCATTCCGTCTTCATTTTCCTGTCAGTGGATAACTTGGTTGAATTTGTTGCAGGGAGAAGGAAAAAAGGGCTTCCCTGGTAGCTCAGCCAATAAAGAATCCGCATGCCAATGCAAGAGATGTGGGTTCAATCCCTGAGTGGGGAAGATCCCCTGGAGAAGAGAAAGGCAACCCACTCCAGTCTTCTTGCCTGGAGAATCCCATGGACAGAGGAGCCTGGTGGGCTACAGTCCATGGGGTCACAAACTGTTGGACATGACTGAAGCACCTGAGAATGTATGCAAAGGAAAAAAAAGAGAAATGGACTTTTTATTCTTTCCCTTTTTTGAGAGCAAAGGGGATAAAGAGAACAGTGAGCAGGCCTGAACATTCCTAGTTGTTTGTTTGTTTGCTTTGCTTTAACTGCTCATAACTCTGAATGTCTGTGACTAAGTTTGCTTTTCTGCCCCCTAACTCTGCAGGATCTATGGTTAACATTGTTTCCTTCTACCCTATGCTAAATACATGCCCTATCTGGTGTTTACCCTTACAACACCTTTCCCCTTGTACTTACATGTCAGAAGGAAGGCAGCAGAGCCGCCCCAGCCGCCAGTCAGTTCCTGGGTTACTGACTTCAGTCTATGACTGTTCTGAAAGAAATGCATGAGGAAGAAATCTAGATCCTATCCCCTTGTTCCTCATCACTGACACCTGACTGTGAGCCCTTGCCTTATATAAGCCCCTAGACTCTTCATGGGCGGGGTGGGGGGCACAGTCCTTGAGGCATGACCCTACTGTATTCCCCTCTCCGCTGGCTTGAGAATAAAAGCCATCTTTGTATTTCCTTCAAACTCTTGTCTCTGTATTTTTTATTTGGCTTCACTGGGCAGAGAAAGCCAAGTTTTTGGCCAGCAACCATTCTAGTTTGGCCATTGTCAGTCAAGCTGCCCTGAAAACAAGGGTGCATGGGTCACTTTGATTTGTGATTTTTTTCTGGGTCTGATCCCAGACATGGGATTGTCGGGCCATGTGGTTTCCGGAAGTTTATCTGATAAGGAACCTCCTTGCTGTTTTTGATAGTTCCTGCACCCATTTACACCCCCACCAAGAGTGTAGGAGAATTCCCTTTTGCCTCCCTCCTCTGCAGCCCGTATTCTCTGTAGATGTTTTAGACGGTGGCCACTCTGACCTGTGGGAGGGGATTTTTCATGGGGGTTTTGATTTGCATGGATTCAGTACATAGTGCTGTGCTGCAGTCCATGGGATTGCAAAGAGTAGGACACAACGGAGCAACTGAGCTGGATACATAGTGAGCTGGAGGAATTTTCCTCGTGCTTTTTGATATTGTACAGTGTGAGTAGAGTTTACCTCTTGAAATTGTCTTCTTGAATGGTGGCCCTGTTTGAATTCCTGTCTGATGATTTACCCCAGGACATGACTGGACAGGAGGGGTCTTTTACAGTCCCATAGGCCTTGTGAATATGAAGAGCCCAACAGCACTAGGTTTAAAGTTGTTGTTCTAGAAGATGGCCCTAAGGAAAGAGCATTGCTTCCTGCCCCACTGTGGTCCTCAGGCATTGAGTCTCATGGAAAACTCTGTTTCATGGTATTGTCAGCTAGTGTGGAATGTGCCAGAAGAAACACCCAAGTCTTGAGTCTCTTCTCTTTCCCCCTAACCCAGTGTCCCCAGGACACATTCCAGTTTTTTGGAACACGCTCTGCAGAGGGTGCTGTCATCTGTAGGTGGGGTGACCCTAAGGACAGAGGCTGGAGGTAGGAACCCAAGACTAGGGGACATAGACTGGCCAGGGGACCTTGTAAGCTTGTTCCAGCCCAGAGGCTCCACCAATTCTTGGGTGATGTAGGCCTGGTTTCTCTGCAGGAGGTTCCACCTGCATCTGGAGATTGGGTGCTCATGCAGAGGGAAGGAGGCACCCCAGGTCCATTCTGGGGTCACGTTTCCTGCCACATGCTCCCAGCTTTGTCTGCATTGAGACCCTCCAGGCTTGGGACTGAAACCAGCTCAGGCTCCAGGGATGTGACACCATCTGGGTCACCATGGCCTGAGGGCAGTAGAGTCAGCCTTTCTGATTCCTTTTTTGTACTTTTATTCCCTAATTTGAATTGGCATATGTAGTTGAATGACAAGGTTTGGGGATTTTTTTTTTTCCTTTTGGATCAACAGCAACTTAATTCACTTGTACATAGATGTGTATATCTTCTCTTCCAGTTTCTTTTCCAATATAGGATGTTACAGAGATTCCTGTGTTACACAGTGGTTTCTGGTGGATACTTTTTTAATGATATTAGCCTCCCTATGTTAGACTGAATTAGTTCATTACTCCCTGTCGCACAGTTTTGTTTTTTCTTCCTGGGGACCACTGATTCTTTTCTGAGTCTGTGAGACTGTTTCTCTTTTTAAAGAAGATCATCTGTATCCATTGTTAGATCCCAGCTACAAGTGATGTCTTATGCTAATATCCCTCCCTGTCCCCCTCACCTCACTTGCTATGATCATGTCAACTTTCTTCCCTGAGGGTGCCCATGGCATTCTTTCCTGATTGTTGTGGCTAAGTGACGGTTCATCGTGTCTATGTACCCCATCTTCTTTATTCCTTATGGATGTCTTTGTTTGCAAATATTTTTTCCCATTCTGAGGACTGTATTTCTCTTTCAGTTAGGGTTTCATTTGCTGTGCAAATGCTTTTAAGGTTAATTCAGTCCTGTTTTCTTAGTTTTTGTTTATTTTTCATTATTCTGGGCACACTTGGTGGAATTGATGTTACAGCCTGTCCCCCCCCCCCATATTGTCCTCAAATTTGCATAGTATCCATCCTACATTTGGAGAAGGCAATGGCAACCCACTCCAGTATTCTTGCCTGGAAAATCCTATGGACAGAGGAGCCTGGTAGGCTGCAGTCCATGGGGTCACGAAGAGTCAGACATGACTGAGCAACTTCACCTTCACTTTGCACTTTCATGCATTGGAGAAGGAAGTGGCAACCCACTCCAGTGTTCTTGCCTGGAGAATCCCAGGGACGGTGGAGCCTGGTGGGCTGCCATCTATGGGGTCGCACAGAGGCGGACACGACTGAAGCAACTTAGCAGCAGCAGCAGCATCCTACACTTATATCTTTATCTTCTTTGAAGTTTATTTTTGTGTATGGTTTGAGGGATATTCTAATTTCATTCTCACTTTCATTGTTGATGCATGTCCACGCTGTCCTCCATAGTGGCTTTCACCTATTTTCATTTACAGCAACAGAGGTGGAGGGATCCCTTTTCTTCATGGCATCTGGTGGATTTAATCTTTGTGGAATGCTTGACAGTCACCATTCTGATTGGTGGTGTGAGGTGAGACTGAACAGCCTTCCCTATATTTAGAAATGTTGACATCTTTTCACGTAAATATTTTTTAATGTGTGAGTTAAAGGAACCTGTTAAAATTGGCTTTGTGGCAGTCTACCCAGTTATGAATTCTTTTTTGATGCCCCCCCCCCCAGGAGACTCCAGGAGATCAGTTGTTGTTTACTTAGAAACTTTTGGACCTTTTGAATATTGAATGCCCATCAACATGGCTTTCTGTTGATGCATGGGGCTATGTCTCTCCCTGTTGTTTGACTTGAGACCAGAGTATGGTGGAGGTAATGAAGACAATGGCGACCTCCTTCAAAAGATCCCATGCACGCACTGCAGAACTCAGTGCCCCTGATCCTGCAGCAGGCCATCACCAACCCACGCCTCCACCAGAGACTCCTGGACACTCACAGGCAAGTCTGGGTCAGTCTCTTTTGGAGACACTGCTCCTTTCTCCTGGGTCCTGGTGCACACAAGGTTCTGTTTGTGCCCTCCAAGAGTCTGTTTCCCCAGTGCTCTGGAAGTTCTGTAATCAAACCTTACTGGCCTCCAAAGTCTAATTCCCTGGGACTTCTCAGTCCCTTTGCCAGATCCCCATGTTGGAAAATCTGTTGTGGGTCCTAGAACTTTCTTAACAGTGCAAGAATTTCTTTGGTATAATTGTTCTGCAGTTTTTGGGTCATCTGCTCGGTGTCTCTATGGTGGAATTAATGGCGACCTCCTCCAAGAAGGCTTATGCCACATCCAAATCACCTGCAGCTAGAGCCCCGGCCCCTGCAGCAGGCCAGTGCTGACCCACACCTCCACAGGAGATGCTCAAACACTCAAAGGCAGGTCTGGTCAGTCTCTGTGGGGCCTCTGGGTCCTAGTGCACACAAGGTTTTGTTTGAGCCCTCCAAGTGTCTCTGGCCAGCATAGGGTTTGATTCTAAATGAGAGTTTACCCCTCCTACCATCTTGTTGAGGAATCTCCTTTGCCCTTGGACGTTGGGTATCTTTTTTTGGTGGGATCCAACATTCTCCTTTTGATGGTTGTTCAGCAGCGAGTTGTATTTTGGAGTTCTCAAAGGAGAAGTTGAGTACATGTCCTTCTACTCCACCATTTTGTCACTTTGGATTAAAGATTTACTAAGCATGGCTCCACCTATCAGAACAACACCCTGTTTCCCTTACAGTCAGTCTCTCCCATGAAGAAGCTTCCATAAGCCTCTTATCCTTATCAGTCTGAGGGACAGTGATGTGGTGGTCTGTGAGCTGACCTTGCTGGACGGACATGGGATGGTCTGCATGCTGATCTGGCATGCTTGGAACTGTTGTGGTCTGTGTGCTGACCTGGTATCTGTGGAGGTGGGGTGGTCTGTGTCCTGACCTAGCATGGATGGAGGTGGGGTGGTCTGTGTGCTGACCTGGCATGGATGGAGCTGTGTGGTGTGTGTGTGACATGGCATGGATGGGTGTAGGGTGGTCCATGTGCTGACCTTGCATGCATACAGGTGGATTGGTCTGTGTGCTGACTTGGCATGGATGGAGGTTAGTGGCTGTGTCCTGACCTGGCGTCTATGGAGATGGGGAGGTCTGTGTGCTGACTTAGCATAGATGGAAGTTGGGTTGTCTGTGTGCTTCCCTGGCATGGATGGAGGTGCGGTTGTCTGTGTGCTGACCTGGCATAGATTGATGTGGGGTGGTCTGAGTGTTGACCTGAAAAGGGTGGAGCTGGAGTGGTCTCTGTGCTCACCTGGCATGGATGGACGTGTTGTAGTCTGTGAGCTGACCTGGCATGGATGATGCTGGGGTGGTTTGTGTCCTGACCTGGCATGGATGGAGTTGGAGTGATCTGAGTGGTGACCTGACATGGATATAGGTGGGGTGGTCTGTGTGTTCTCCTGGCATAGATAGAGGTGGGTGTTCTGTGTACTGACCTGGCATGGATGAAGCTGGGGTGGTCTGTGTACTGAATGGCATGGATGCAGATTGGTGTTCTTTGTCCTGACCTGGAATCTATGGAGTTGGAGTGGTCTGCCTGCTCACCTGGCATGGATGGAGCTAGGGTGGGACCAATCTGTGTGTTCCTAAGTGAAAGAGCTGAGCTGTGCTTGGCTGGTGGGTGGGTGAGCAGGTTGATGATCAGTTAGGGAGGAGGCATACACTTGGTGGTGAGAGTGTCAGTTTGTAAGCAACTTGATAAGAAGTCTGGGTTCCCCAAAGAGGAGAAAGGGTTCTGGGGCTCTTGAAGTGCAAATATGGATCTGGAGTTCTAAAGGAGGAAGAAAGGACACATGTTTTTTTTCCTGTGCATTCCTTAGTCTTTGACACATAAAACGTTTTTTTTTTTTTCTTTAAGCCTGGAACTGATGATACACAATAAACAACTCTGACCTAGGGATTATGTTACAACAATGTATCCTGCTTGAGGACAGTTTCTTCTTCCTGAAAACCTTCTGGCTAATCCTGTTATCTTACACATCTTTTCATGTGTTTTTTTAGCCATCTGTATGTCTTCTTTAGGCCTGGCGTGCTGAGGTTTATGGGGTCACAATGGCCAAAGTATTGGAGTTTCAGCTTCAGCATCAGTCCTTTCAATGTATATTTAGGAATGATTTCTTTTAGGATTGACTGGTTTGACCTCCTTGCAGTCCAAGGGACTCTTCAGAGTATATTTGGGTATGAATAAACATTTATTGTGCTTTTGCTGCTCTCTCGTGGAGAAATAGAAGAATACTTATGAATGTTATTTATAAAATCCAGATGTATCCTCTCATTTGTAAATGAGGGTATGAATAAATATTTACTCTACTTTTGCTGCCCTCTCATGGTGAAAGAGAATGTTTATGAATGTAATTTAGAAAATCCAGATGTATCCTTACTTTGAGAAAGATACTGCATAACTATTAAAAATTAGTACATGCTCATAACAGAAAATGTAAATTTGCCAGAAAAATACAATGAAAGAAGAAAATCACCCATGATCTCAGTTTAACATTGACTCAAAATTCTGAATTCCAGGGAGGGGGAGATAAAAAGATGAGGGTGTGCCAGTTTTTTTTTTTATAAAATCATCTTTTCTCCTATTTGAATGTGAACATAGGACTTGGTTTTGATATGTAATTCTTGCTTTGTTTACTTATCTTTAAGCCTCTACTTTTAAGAATACCTAGTAATTAGACCCACTGTTTAGAGACTGTTTGCTTCAATGTTTTTTGTTCTTTTTCCCTTTTTCATCATTATGTAGTGTCCTTCCTTATCTCTTGTAATCTTCGTTAGTTTAAGGTCTATTTTGTCTGATATGAAGATTGCTACTCCAGCTTTCTTTTGCTTCCCATTTGCATTGAATATATTTTTCCATCCTCTCACTTTCAGTCTGTATGTATCTTTAGGTCTGAAGTGGGTTTCTTGTAGACAACATATACATGGGTCTTGTTTTTGTATCCATTCAGCCAGTCTGTGTCTCTTGGTCGGAGCATGTAATCCATTTACATTTAAGGTAGTTATGGATATATATGTTTGTATTCTCATTTTCTTAATTGATTGGTGCTGATTTTGTGGATCTTTTTTCTTCTCTTGTATTTCTTGACTATATAAGTCCCTTTAACATTTGTTGTAAAGCTGCTGTGGTGGTACTGAATTGTCAGCAACCCACTCCAACACCCTTGCCTAGAAAATCCCATGGATGGAGAAGCCTGGTAGGCTATAGTCCGTGGGGTCGCAAAGAGTCGGACACAACTGAGCGACTTCAGTTTCACTTGCTTGTCTGAACAGCTTTTGATTTCTCCATCAATTTTGAATGAGATCCTTGCCGGGTACAGTAATCTTGGTTGTAGATTTTTCCCTTTCAGGACTTTAAATATATTCTACCATTCCCTACTGGCCTGCAGAGTTTCTGCTGAAAGAACAGCTATTAAGCACATGGGGTTTCCTTGTATGTTACTTTTGCCTCTCCCATGCTGCATTTAATATTCTTTCTTTGTGTTTAGTCTTTGTTAGTTTGATTAGTATTTGTCCTGCCATGTTTCTCCTTGGGTTTATCCTGTATGGGGCTCTTTGTGCCTCTTGGACTTGACTATTTCCTTTTCCATGTTGGGGAAATATTCAACTATAATCTCTTCAAAAATTTTCTCTTATCCTTTATTCTTCTCTTCTTCTTCTGAGACCCAAATAATTCAAATGTAGGTGTGTTTGATATTGTCCCTGAGGTCTTTGAGACTATCTATCTTCCATTCTTTTCATTCTTTTTACTTTATTCTGCTCTTCAGCAGTTATATACACCATTTTATCTTCCAGCTCACTGATTCGTTCTTCTGCTTCAGATATTCTACTATTGGTTCCTTCTAGAGTATTTTTATTTCAGTAATTCTGTTGTTTGTCTCTGTATGTTTATTCTTTAATTCGTCCATGTCCTTGTTCATTGATTGTTGCATTTTCTCCTTTTTGTTTCAAGGTTTTTGATCATCTTTACGATCGTTATTCTGAATTCTTTTTCAAGTAGTTTGCCTATTTCCTCTTAATTTTTTGGACTTCTGTGTTTCTAGCTTGTTCCCTCATTTATGTAGTATTTATCTGCCTTTTCATTATTTTTTTTAACTTTTTGTGTCTGAGGTTTCCTTTTACCAGGCTTCAAGGTTGAATTCCTTCTTCCTTTTAGTTTCTGCCCTCCTAAGGTTGGTCCAGTGGTTTGTGTAAGCTTTGCATTAGGTGAGATTTGTGCTAAGTTTCTTTTTTTCTTCTAATGTGCAGGGCTGAGTGAGGTGCTGTGATGATTTGGTTTGTATTTTTGTCTTGTCTGTTGTTTGAATGAGGTGGCCTACACTGGGTGCAACTGGTGGTTTGGTGATGCCAGGACTTGTATTCAAGTGGACTCCTTTGTGTGAGTTCTCACTATTTGATACTCCCTAGGGTTAGAAGTTCTGATTGTCTAGGGTCTTGGAGTCAGTGCTCCCACTCCAAAGATTCAGGGTGGATTTCTGTCAAGGAACAGAGATACCACAGGTACTTTGTTATAGGGTGTGATTTGTGCTGAGTTTTTGCTTATTTGTTTGTTTTTTCTCTGATGGACAAGACTGAATGAGGTGGTAATCCTGATAGCTGATGATTGGGATTTTTTGTTTTGTTTTGTTTGTTTTTTGGATGAGGTGTCCTACACAGGGTGCTACTGGTGATTGGGTGATCCTGGTCTTGTATTCAAGTGGATTCCTTTGTGTGAGTTATCACTATTTGATACTCCCTAGGGTTAGCTCCTGACCTTGGTGATGGAATTCCAGTTGAACTATTTCAAATCCTAAAAGATGATGTTGTGAAAGTGCTGCACTCAATATGCGAGCAAATTTGGAAAACTCAGCAGTAGCCACAGGACTGGAAATGGTCAGTTTTCATTCCAATGCCTAAGAAAGGCAATGCCAAAGAATTACCGCACAATTGCACTCATCTCACATACTAGCAAAGTAATGATAAAACTTCTCCAAGCCAGGCCTCAATAATACGTGAATTGTTAACTTCTAGATGTTCAGGCTGGTTTTAGATAAGGCAGCATAACCAGAGATCAAATTGCCAACATACGCTGGATCATTGAAAAAGCTAGAGAGTCCCAAACATCTATTTCTGCTTTATTGACTATGCCAAAGGCGTTGACTGTGAGGATCGCAACAAACAGGAAAATTCTGAAAAAGATGGGGATACCAGAGCACCTGACCTGCCTCTTGAGAAATCTGTATGCAAGTCCAGAAGCAGCAGTTAGAACTGGACATAGAACAACAGACTGGTTCCAAAAAGGAAATGGAGTTCGTCAAGGCTGTATATTATCACCCTGCTTGTTTAACTTATATGCAGAGTACATCATGAGAAACGCTTGGCTGGATGCAGCACAAGCTGGAATCAAGATTGCTGGGAGAAATAACAGTAACCTCAGATATGCAGATGACACCACTCTTATGGCAGAAAGCGAAGAAGAACTAAAGAGCTTCTTGATGAGAGTGAAAGAGGAAAGTGAAGAAGTTGCCTTAAAGCTCAACATTCAGAAAACTAAGATCATGGCATCTGGTCCCATCACTTCATGGCAAATAGATGGGGAAACAGTGACATACTTTATTTTTGGGGGCTCCAAAATCACTGCAGATGGTGACTGCAGCCATGAAACTAAAAGACACTTGCTCTTTGGAAGAAAAGTTATGACCAACATAGACAGCATATTAAAAAGCAGAGACATTACTTTGCCAACAAAAGTCCATTTAGTCAAGGCTATGGTTTTTCCACTATTCATGTATGGATGTGAGAGTTGGACTGTAAGGAAAGCTGATCACCAAAGAATTGATGCTTTTGAACTGTGGTGTTGGAGAGGACTCTTGAGAGTCCCTTGGACTGCAAGGAGATCCAACCAGTCCATCCTAAAGGAAATCAGTCCTGGGTGTTCATTGGAAGGACTGATGCTGAAGCTGAAACTCCAATCCTTTGGC